GGGGGGGGGGGGGCAGCACAGAAAACGGGGGGCAAAGATGGAAAGGCATGGAAACACATTCCCCGTAAGCCTGCAACACCGGGCATGGAGCTCCCAGCACCAAGGGGCTTTTCTCCTTCCATAACCCAGCGCTTCACACGGTTCCTACAGAAAAACCCAACTGCGCTGGCAGCACTACAGCGTTGCTGAGCTTAGGAGATTTCTCTAAGCAATAAACAGAGTAATTTAGGCATAAAAATGGTCCCTAGTGGCCTTTCTTAAATAAAACAATTTAGAGTTTTTATGCTTCAGTGCTCTCCCTGTTTGCATTATTTATGGATGAAGAACATCCATTTTTCCCTTAAAGTAGGCAAGAGTGTTCAAGGCCCAAGGTAATGTCTAGCCCCCAGCACGCAGAGAAAGACTTTTTGTTTTAATAAAGAATGCCCAGTACTTCACGTTTCACAACAGTCTATGATGCACTATAGCTTCTGGAATTCTGAGATCCTGGAGGCAAACAACAGCCAGTCCTTAGATCCTTAAGCTTTCATTTTCATCCCACAATGTTCTGTTTTAAAGAGTTGTCCATTTCCAGTATATAAATATGAAATACAAATATGTATGAATAAATACAAATATATACCCCACCAGTTGAAGAGAGTGGGTAATCCGATTGCTCCGGCTCAAACCAAAGGAACCAGAAGTTATTGTACCAGTAGGCGCTGTTGCAATTGCCAATCTCTGCCTGGAAAACGGACTTGTGCTCTTCTGCCACCACTGATTCTTGGCAGAAAAGTGTGACTACGGGAGAACACCTCTGAACAACAGACAGGTGATCTGGTGAAACTTGCAATAAAAGCAGGAAGAATGCTTAAATTTGTTTAGAAGATTCAGACTTTCTGTTCTCTACTGCCAGCACAGTGGTTTGGCTTTTTCATACGCATGCTCCACCATACAGCGCCCTGCTGGAGTGTCTGGCAGCCAACAGAATAAATTTGTCCAACTACACAATGAAACAGGTGAACAAAGTAAGTAATAAACATGAAAATTAATTCTCAAGCGACTACCAAAAACCAAAAGCAGCCAACTTCTCACAGTGAACTTTTGAAGTGACAGAAGCACGCAGTGCAATTTAGGAAGGGAAATGGTCAAAGCAGACAGAACACTGCGTCCAGATTAAACTTCTGAGAACATACCTTGCTCACTTCTTTCAGAGCTTGCTTGCAGGTCTCGTATTTTGACGAATCCTTGGGAGTTTTCTGACAAATAGTCTGAAATAAAATGTCAGCTACCTCAGAGGACTAAGCAGCACAGATTGGAACAAATCTGTTCTGTACCTGCAGTAAGGGAACAGCCCCAGGTAATGCTGTCTGACCTTGTGGAAGGTATTTCCAAAGGATTAACAGAGATAGCTACAACGCGTACCGTGGGAAAACATACATAATGCTGTTATTCCATGAAAACCGGAGCACGTGCAAGGGATGACAGCTGCAGCATCCCAACAGAGGAAGTGCTGGGAAGGAATGAGAAGTAAATCCCATCTATGAATTACACGTACCAGTTTTACCTGCTGACAGAGCTTATTCTTATGAGTTGCACGTGAAGTCCTATCAGAAACTGGCATTTTGAATCTAGGACACAGCAGTCAAATCACTTTTTTTTGATTGTGAAACAAAAACATTGTAAGATATTTTACATTAAATTAGTCTTTGGTTTAATTATGTTCCCTTCTCTCTGAACATACTTGGAGTGCTACTTCGGGTACTGAAGCCTTAAAAATCAAATTCACTTTGAAGTCTAAGGTTTACACAACCGTTTCCAAGAAAAACAAGAAGACACAAACAAAGCAAAACTGAAATAGTGGAAAACTTGAGAACTGCGTTCACTCTTCAGGGTTATGCTGTGACCCTCTTAACTGCGAGTCGTAACAACCTGCTCCTGAAAGTATTTACTGCAGAAGGACCCTTCTGTCATCTACAAGACTACATATGAAGTCTTGTTTTTTCAGCTATAGGGTTTAATTTTAATACTAACACTAGATACAATTTCGGTGCTAGGTTCCCTCCTTGGTTTCAGAGTCATTTTGACCCTTTACTGTAAAACTGTTCTATTAGAATGTCTGAATGTTTAACTTCTGAATGGGGGATCAGGAGCAGGAGGTACCAGCCACAGGAAGTGAACAAATGCTGCGGTGCTTCATATCTACAGCCCCACACCTGGTCAAAGAAGGTATGAAGAGACTGGAATGAACTGGGAGCTCAACATGGAAGAATGCTAATGTTAAAGGAACGTGCATCAAGGCAAAGTAGGAAAGTAACTGTGTTCTCACATCCATCAGTAAGGGAAGCCGAGTGACTCTCTGCATGGGGAGAATGAGGAAAGAGATCATTGGTAAGTTCCGGCAATCCTCGTGGGACTCGATTCGTGACAACACCTCTTTAAACGCCGGATTGGTGGCTCTGGGGGAAAAACAGAGGCGAGAATTAAACGGTTATGTTTTACCAAAGGCTTGTGAAAGCTGCTAGTTGTTAAATCAATCATTAATTCATTAATAAGCAAGTGTGATTTGAAGGAGTTCTATCAACTAGGGCAGTTTCCCGGCGGTGCCTGGGCGGCACCCGGCTGCCAGGCCCCGCTCGGTGGGAAGCTGCAGGCTCTGCCCCGACACCACGGCCTGCTACTCACCCCCCCAAAGCGGGGGGTGCAATCACATCTTAAAGTCGGTTCTTACAGTAACTTCTGCAGTGTGCGCTGCTGATAGACTTCATTGGTGCAGTATTTCACATAGGGATCAAACGTTGAGGAGGTGTGCTTTTCAACTATATCACTGATATCATCGATGAAGATGTTGTTCTGATGTCTTGCTTCAAGTTCTTTAAAGAACCTGTGAAAAAAGAGAATCAATTACTTAGTTTTACAGAAAAAAGCCGACTTTCTCTCGCAACATTTTACGCCTCACCTGACACAACCCAGACTTCTATAAGCTAATGACAACTTGAAAGGCTTGTGAAAGGGTGAGATCATCCCTCCTTTGGCAGAACCAGGCGGGAGCCCGTCAGCGACGCCAGCCAGAGGGTGGCGTGTCACCTGGCAGCGCTCACAGCGCCCCCCAGCACGCACTTCCCCTCTCCAGCTGCCAAAACCGAAACAGCGTTACTGATCTGGTTAGACCAGAACTTCTAGAAACAGGCTTGGAAAAGAAACAAACGACTTCAAGCACACATTAACACATTTCCTCTTGTAATAAAGGAGGGACAATACCAGAGATGGACAGTGAAAGTTGTGAGACTGCTAAACTAAGAGCAAAATAATATATAGCAGCCTGAGCCGGACAAGGTGCTCACGCACCGTGTTCTTCAACCTGCACTGAAACCAAACACAGACTGGGAACAGAAATCCTGAGCTGACCTTTTCCCCTAAACATGTTTGTTCTCAGAACTTCCCTCCCGTTCCTCTGTTCGATGTGCCAGTGCCTTTGGCCTCTGGAAGCTTTCCACTACTTTTTGCGTTTCTAATCTTACCAGAAACCAAAAGCCTTTATTTGTGTGAAGCTCATTAGAAGCATCTTACTGTTTGGGGTATCACACAGCCCAGCTATTGCAGGTCACTGCTATGACCTACACTGGCAGCAGTCCGATCCTTAAAGATCTGGAAGCTGCTGAGAATCTCTCACATACTCATCTTGCCTGCAGCCTTTACACACGATGATTCACTAGAGGAACCCTGAACTCCCTAGAGTAAACCAGCCAATAAAAAAATTCTCATCTACCACAGGAAAATGAAGTAAATACTTGGAACACATGATCCCACGTCAAGCTAAAACATTTTGAAACATGTTTTATTTTGGCCCATTATTACATTCTCTCATAATAATATTAACACTGGCTCTCCATAATCCATCACCTTGCAGCATTTCATTTAAGTCACCACCAACGTCCTCCACAGTTTCTTTTACAGACAAACCTCAAACATGTAGGAAGAGCAGAACAGGATGAACAGAACCTTATCATACAAGTGTTTAACAACATGGGTTAACTAAAATTAAGACACTTTCAGGTGTGCTTCAAAGAAGCTGCCTGAATTGAGCGCTTTCCTGATTCTCAGTTACAGTCAGAAGAATCAAAGGTGAGGTTTTCTCATTTAGCATTTTTTGGTTTTGTTCTTTGAAGTTCTGACACATTAACCGCAGGTTGAACTGACTGATGTTTATCAGTATAATCACCTAATGAAAAACAGGACACTGCCTACAACTAGACACAACGCTGTCTACTGCAGCGCAGCGATTTCTCCTCACTCCCCCGTAAGCGGTGCAGCAGTACTTTAACAGCCTCGCTGCTTTGGGCAGGGAGAGTCCCGCAGCAGCCTTCTATCCTCTACCCAGCTTCTTCCAAAGCACAGAACAGTCCCAGTGCCACTGACTTCTATGACACTACATATTTGGGGTTTTAGTATCCAGAACAGCATACGAAGTTGCTGTGAGATCTCAAACAATACATGGACAAATACTAAAGTTAACAGTTGCCTGAAATTTCACTGGGGTCCAAGTAGGAGGGGGGAAAGCATCTCCAAGTCTACAATTTCTCATGAACCACAACTGCCAGATTCAACCGCTGACCACCATGAACTGCAGACGACTGGAATTAATTTCTGCTCTACTCAGACACGTTTATAGTTGGGAGAACTCGGTGCGCTGCCAATTTACTCTGCTCAGGAAATTAGGAAATGCCCCATTTCTTCCTGCCATACGTTATGGCACACTGACAAGGTGTTTGACCATGCTGGACTACAGCTGCCACTTTTAGAATTTATCTGAGGCTCCACTAATGACATCACCACTCACAGTCATTGTAAGGAACAGTAACAACCTCGGATGGTAGAAGTTTAAACAAAAACCAAACAAAAACCAAACCACCAAAGAGAAGAGAGGGACAGAGAGAAGCAGCATACCCAAGTCCACCCCCCGCAACACGCACTGTAAGCAGTATCCCCTCTGGAAGTCAGGCACTGGAGTTTCAATCAAAGGTTGGTTTTTTCTGCATCCAGTCTGCTCATTACTGCACACAATCAGTGAATCAGACACATCATAAAAACCTTTTACTTAAAATTTTAGGACATACTCTGCCAAAGATCAGTACTGAGGGATTGAGTGGTTCAATTCAGTTTAACCAACTATGAATTAGTCGTGCTGTGTGACTGACTTTTTTTGCTTAATACCAGAAGGGTTTATTTAAAGCATTTGTTTCTGTTAACCAGAAGTTTTCTGGTTAAAGTTAAAGCCAATTAAGTGAAAGCCAAACAGCATCATGAGACAGCATTTGATTCCTATCATCTTGCCCTTATTTGTTTAAAATAAATGTCCAATTTTTAATCCTCTGAAACTCCCCCTCCCAAAAAGGCTACCTGCCAAATTTAGAAATGCAGGATGAATTCATTTCCGTTTTTTTCTTTTCCTCCCCCGTGTGTAGATCTTGGGCTAGATCTCACCAACCCTGGAGCCTGTCCTGTCCTTACGAGTTTCCTCCTTAATGCTGGTGGCTCCCGCTAAGGGTCTGCCCAGGTCCTTCGGCAGCTCATTAACAAGCTGGTAATCACACCAGCAGCAGTGTCTGATACTTGCTCAGGCAATTCTCTTAAGCCAGTTTTTCCTACCCACTGCCACTGCTTTCCTCAACGATGCCCACGACCTCCTCAGCAGCTCTGGTTACTTCAGCTGTATAAACACGAGTGCCCAGCAGTACGTGCCCAACGCCCCGCACTGCTCCACACAAGTCACCTTTGTAAGGCCTGTGCTGTGGTTACTTAACAACTGCCCAACTCCCAGCCACATCACGGAGCTCTGCTGAAACAGACGCCACAAAGAAATACAAAGTAAGTGTCCTAATAGTAATCATTTTGGTTAACATTTGTTCTCACCATTTACTCTCCCTTCACTCCTAGGTAAAGATATGAACTGAGCAGGACTCACATTCTTATGAATACTGCATTTTCCTAATCTGGATATTCCAAACTAGATTGCACTGATTAAAAAAAAAATCCAATTAGGGCAGGTAAAAGAGGTTTTTAACTAGGCAGGCCAAATTAGTGTTAGGAAAACTATTACAGAATCAGTTATTAACCTGGAGCAAAAAGCATGCAGAATCAAACCACAGCACGTAAAAGGAATATACAGAAAGGTCAGAGCTACCACAAAACCCCAGCAGGTTTACCTACAGCAAGGGTCACTACAGAAGACAAGCGATGGCAAAGTCCTTCTGGCAAGTGCAACTGGGAAATAACCGACTGGTGAAGATCCATCTGAAACAGCAGTAAAGGTGGAACACCAGCTGTCACCAGAGCCAGGTGATCAGCACACAAGAGAGCGAAGAGGAAAAAAAAAATTCTGATCCAATTACTATGCAATCATTTTATTCTGTTTGCAGAACGACAGAACACACATAATAGCACTACCAGGCTGGTGGGAGGGACAGATGGCATCAACCATTGTGGTTTGCTGTATGGGTTACATCCCAGCCACAGAATCAAGGTTCTCAACCATTTATCTGGCCTTTTCCTACTGCTTTCAGCACTAATTTTTAATCTCCTCACAGATCTACATAATACCCCATCACTAACTGTTCTGGACAGCGCTGTCAGATGCCACAGCCACGGAAAATACCAGTCCATTGCTGTCAAAGCCATTCTGGATGTGCAAGTGAACTGCAGGCTGGCTTGCAGAGCACTTGTTTGAAGTTCATGATTATTATCCTTGTTTAATGTTTTCAAAGCTATAATGACCTACATGTCTGGCATGAAGAAGATTATAATGCAGATTTAGCTTCAGAGCGATGTTGCTGCTGACACACTACCACTATCCAGTAACAGAAAAAAGCCACTGGAGTGGAAGCAAGAACAATTTAGCTTCCTCCTCTTGGAGATAAGGGAACAGGAAAAACTTGTACCAATTTCAGATAACTTCAGATAAAAGTAATAAAAGTAATAAAAATTTCTGAGTAGCCTATCCAGATCTGAATATTCGCATCAGGAACAGAATCTTAACATCTGCATCACAGTTGTTTGTTTTTGGTTTTTTTTTTTTTTATTTTCTAGCGGCTCTGCATTTGCAAGTAACGGTATTTCTGACAGATTTCTGACGATATCATTGTTCTTGATGGCTACCAAGTGTCTGAGCCGATTCATTGTTACTCAAGATAATCAATTATAATACACTGGAAACTGAAATAACTCCTTCATGATTTGCATAGCATTGTTGTGGTCCAGTCCTGAATTAGAGTTACTGGCAGGAGCACCTTCCACACAGAAAGGTTTCTGTGCAGTCACTTGTCTCCCTCGTCTGAGCAGGACGTCACATGAACTCAGCATTTCTCAGTGAAACTGCAGCAGTTCTCAGCAAGTTAAAAATAACGTGTTATTTTTTACTGCCACACCCACATGCAGATTTTGAAACTTCATCGCAAGGCTGAAATTAACAGAGATTCTTCAGGGCAGTCCTTTGTCACTTCCCTGCTGTAACTGCCTGTTTTGGTTTCCTAATTCGTTTTGAAACGGCTTGGACTCAAATTATATTAAAACATTGTGTGAAGACAGGGGAATTGCAGGTTTTTTGAGGTACAGGATCTTTTTTAATGAATGCTCAAGTTTTCGCATTTGAGTAACCTCACTGATTTGCAATATAAATAAAGTTAGATGCAATAACTGCAATATATTTATGCCAATTTCTGTTTTGAGTCAGAAGCCTTGAACTTCTACCTGATTTACCTTCTTACCTTCTTATTTGATGTCCAGTTAGAAGAGTAACATCTGTTTACTTGGTTTCAGGTTGAAATGCTCTTTCTCAATGCCTTTTTTTTTCCCCACTCTATTTCCAAACCTGTTGCTCTGTACTGG